AAAACGTCGGAGGATTCGGCTCACTTGACTGCAGTGAGGAAGGAGCAGCTTCTGAAGAAAGGTAAGATTTAAGCTAATAATACAAAGAAACTTGTTAAAACAAAGTCGGCAACAGCTGATAACTTAAGTAAAGGTTGTATGCTACGTTTATATAAGCTTATATTAGTTTTAGTGCGGTAGCACGGCACAGGAATTATCTGCCATTAACTGCTACAATATGCTAAGCTAGGTAACAAAATGACTAGCTCTACCAAACTGATAATTAAACAGAATATGACCTACGTTATTAAGACACTTTTTAATGGCTCCAAGCACATACTAAAGAAGAAAATTAAGCTTGTGTCAATTTTCACACAGTAAAACTAACCACCACCAGCTTTTCATGGTCATACTCTGGACCATTTTTATACAGTTACAAAACATACACTCATATATATATATATATATATATATATATATATATATATATATATATATATATATATATATATATATATACATATATATATATATATATATATATACATATATACATATATATATATATACATATATATATATATATATATACATATACACACACACATATATATATATATATGTGTGTGTGTATATATATATATATATATATGTATATATATATATATATATATATATATATATATACTGTATATATATACATATACACACACACACACATATTTATATATATATATATATATATATATATATATATATACACACACACACACACACACACACACACATATATATATATATATATATATACTGTGTTTTTCCTCAGTTATCCATGCATGTGGAAATGTAAAGACTGTGATTATTCATGTTCAAGAAGATCTGAACTTCTAAAACATTACAAACTTGATCATCAGCACTATGGGCGGGGCCATACTTATCCTTGCACCTATGAACACTGCCCATGCACATGCAAGACATGGAAAGTTTTACTGACCCATCTAAGCAAATCCCATCCTGCTAAAGATTCTACACAGAAAGATAGTATTGCACTATTCAAGTGCCAAATCTGTGACAACAATCAACTTTCAACTGAGACGGACTATTTTCAGCACATATGAACACATCTGAAAAATCATGAAACCATCAATTGCATGTTTTTTGATTGCTCGTATGTAACAAATCTTTATGGTGCTTTCAAAACTCACAAATGGAGAAAACACACCCCATACTATCCACTATTTTAAGGCAGAAACTTTTGGCAGACTTTCAGACAACCCAGATGTTGTAGAATATTTTAGTGATGATAGTACTGAACAATCAGATGATTTACCATCAGAAGAAATCTTTAATGAATCACCTGATTTACCAAAAGTTATTGAGAAAAAAAATTGTTTCAGTCTTACTTAATTTGGAATACTCTTTCCTGGTGCCAAGTGCAGCTGTAAATGAACTACTTGAAGAATTGCAATATTTAATTGGAGCTGCCTCTGTTCCAGTTACCGGAAAGATTATATTTGACTTCTTACAAGATAAAAGTTGCAGAGTTGATGAAGCTGTTGTGAAAGAGTTGGCCACAGTCCTTTGTACTCTTAATCCCATTCAAGCTGCTATAGGAAACCAAGGCCTGCTGTCGACTGCTTGGAAACGGAAGGTATACTACAGAAAAAACTTTGATGTTGTGGAACCTGTTGAATATGTGTAAGGCCGAAAGACTAGAAAATCTTTTCAGTATGTTCCTTATATGTGCATAAGTTGGGGAAAACTTTGAAGGGGGTATTGCAGTGCGTTGTGGCAGACAATCTTGGTGCACACAGTATTGCAGGTTTTGTTGAGAGCTTTTCTGGCAGATATTTTTGCAGGTTTTGTTTGGCAGATAAGTTAGAAATTCAAGACATGTAATTTGGATCTGGAGGTTTCTCTCTTAGAACTGAGGAGATTCACTACAATCATCTGAAAATCCTTGAAGAAAACTCTACAAAATACCTGTTGTGGTGTAAAGAGTAAACATGTTCTGTCAGAAGAACTCACACATTTCAACGTAACAAGTGGTTTCCCTCCAGACATTGTTCATGATTTATTTGAGGGAATTGTTCCTGTGGAAATATCTCTCTGTCTGACTGTGTTGATTTCTAAAAAATATTTTTACTTTGGACATTTTTAATAAAGCAATAGACGATTTTGACTATAAATGGACTGATAAAACTAATCGGCCTCACGCTGTTCCCCTGACCTATGCATCCAGGAGAACAATTGGTGGAAATGCACATGAAAATTGGAATCTAATTAGATTTTTTCCTCTACTACTTGGACAGAACGTGCCCACAGAAGAGCCTGCCTGGAAACTCCTTCTTGATTTAAAGGACATTGTGGAAGTTGTTGTTTCTCCAGTTCAGACTCAGGAATCAATTGCATATCTGAACTTTAAGATCTCTGAGCACAGAATTAGATTTAAAGAAGTTTTTCCAAACTCAAACCTACTGCCTAAACATCATTTCTCGGAACAGTACCCTCAGTTAATGTGTGATTTTGGGCCTTTGGTTGCATTATGGACCATGCGATTTGAAGCAAAGCACAGCTTCTTCAAAAGAGTTGTGCTTAAAAATGTGCTTCTATCCTTAGCACAAAGACATCCGTTTCTGATGGCACATCACCTTCATTCATGGAGCTTTCCTAAAACAGTTTTGGAGGTAGCAAACATTTCAACTCTTCCAACTGATGTGTTAAAAGAGGATATTGCATTTATTCTTAAACAGAAGCACCCAACATTGGATGGAGTTTCCTTAGCTAAAAATGCAACTTCCAATGGCCTGAACTACAGGAATGGAATGATCCTTGCATATGGCTCATGGTCAGGGCTACCAGGATTTGTTGAAATAATTCAGATGGTTGTAATCAAGGATAAACTGCTTTTCATCGTCAGAAAGCTGAGTGCATGGTACTGGGAACATTATAGAGCCTATGAAGTGAAAACATTCCCAACAAAGAAGGTGGAACTGGTTGACCCAAACAGCCTTGCAGATCCTTACCCACTGGCAGACTACTTAGTTGGAGGAGTGCGGCTGATTACTCTTAAAAGATTTATACATGTTTAAGGTCAGTGTTAAAGATGAAAACAAACATTGATTGAAAAATGGTCTTATGGTTATTTTGTGTTTGAATTCTAATTTCACTTGGCTAACTACAGGATTGATAAGGTTTGATTTTGAATGAAAGTAGAGATGCACTGATCCACTTTTTTCACTCTCGATACAGATATCTAAGGGTCAGTATCGATCGATATTGATCTGAAACTGATAAGAGAAAACTGACACTTTATTACCTAATGAGCAACATGTGGAAGATTGCACTGCAAAATCTGATTTCTAAGAAAGTAAAACAATTCATTTTTAGAAAATTTATCTTAATTTTAGTCCAAAAAAATCCACTTCAGAAAAATTATGTTACAGCAAGTTTTGCTTGGCAGATTTTTTTACTCATAACTAGAAAATGTGGATCATAATTAAGAATGTTTCATTTATTTTAAGTAATGCACTTTTTCTAGAGGTTTTTTTCTTTCAGAACTAAAAATAAGATAAAATGTTTAAAAATTAGTTTTTAAATTTTCTTATAAATCGTTTTTTTTGCAGTGTATGGATTGGGCCAATTATTCCCCATACCCGATCTAGAATTATCTTCTATATGTGGACCAATACAGATACTAATATTGGGTCGGTGCCAGTGGTGGGCAGTCAGGGCCAGCAAAGCCTTCTCTGCTGGCCTAAACATACTCAAAAGCGTAAATGTATTTTTTTTCCTTTGGTAATTATTTTTTAATAAAAAAAATGTTTACTGGTCTATTTTCTTTATATCCTATTATACCCACTTGGCTGCGCTGCTTCCAGTGTTAAAATACCAAGGCTGGGTGTTATCCAATCAGATTTAAGCTAGCTTGTGTTTTCAGGCAGATTAAGTCTGCTCTAGGCCTTCAGAATCAATCGAGAAGCCCACTGTCCGCTGTAAGTGAACAGAGACGATCTAGTTGCGATAGCCAATCAGCTCACGAGTCAGCTTGGCCCGGGCCAGCTAGCTGGCCTCACGGAAAAGTTGACATGAACGCATCCTGTGATTGGATTAGCAGTAGTTAGAACTTTTCTAGCAGCATGAAGCAAAATATCAAAACTAAACACAGAGATTTGTATCTATAGGCAGCTATCGGTGTGTTTTTGAACACATGATGGCTGAAAGAGGAGAAAAGACAGACTTGGTTGCAGATTTACTTGCCACACCATTTTCAAGACGGACATTTCAAGAAAAAATGGATATTGTGAGAACAGGTCGTCCGACTCCAACGCTAGCTGGCTTGTCCCAGCAGGGGAAAGGATTTGTTCGTCATTTTCAGGCAAGCAACTATGAACGGTACCCATGGCTAACAGCTTCAGAGAACCGCTGCAGGTTATTCTGCTGGGAATGCCTGTTGCTCGCATCAGATGGATTTGGTAGCATTAAAGCGCGTTAAAATGTACGCCAGAAACACGACCGGGTAGACACGTCATGGACCTGAAGCACACAGATAAACTGTACAGAGCCACTGAGGTTTTCCTGAGGAAAGAAAGAAGGATGGATTTTATTTTCAAATGAGCAGGAGAGGAGGAGATCCATGCTGGACATTTATGTTGGTGAGTAGAAACATTTTATTAGTATTTTTTTAATGTTTTGTCATTTTATTTTGTTAATAATCAATAAATGGTAACGAAATAAAATGGCAAAATGAAATTATTCTGTGTTCTGTTTCTATGCAATTTATATTGTGTATAACGTGGTGTGTGCAGCTGCGCCAACATGTTCGCGGTACAATTTTCTCCAAAACAAATGCAAATAATGTGTTTGCTTTACTTATTTATTTTATTGTCTCATCTCTTAAACCCGTCTTTCATTTCTGAGATTTGACGGTATCCGTGGTCAGCTTCCTACTCTCAACTGGGAATGCGAGTTTGATTTTAAAGACTCTGGAAATTATGTGTCTTGACCAGCCACTGGTGGGTGGGTGTGGGTGTGTGTGTGTGTGTGTGTGTGTGTGTGTGTGTGTGTGTGTGTGTGTGTGTGTGTGTGTGTGTGTGTGTGTGTGAGAGAGAGAGAGAGAGCGAGAGAGAGGTTTCTCCAGCTGTGATGTCCTATTGATGGTATTTTAAGGTGTATTAAATTAGATTGGACTGAATAGGAAATCACTGAAGGCCCAGGGGTGGAACGCACCGCCCGCCACTGGTCGGTGCATCCCTAAATTAAAGACTTAAACTTGTGTTTTTTAGAACTATAAAAGCTAATTTCTCTGTTGAGTCTCAGCACAATGGCAGACAAGGCACCGGTTCGATTACTGTTCAGTTTGAGAGAAGACAACAACGTCAGAATGGAGCTACACCACGGAATTCCAAACTCATTGGAAGAGCTTATCGATGAAGTGAAGAAGGCATGCGGATTAGAGGGATACATAGATTGCAGTATTAGGACACTGATTTTGGTAATATATTTGTGAATCTGACCTCTACATCTGTCATTAGGGATCTGGCAATTCTTAAAGTAATTCAGTTAGACCCTGATGCCTCAGCCATTGTCTTGTATCCGGTTGAGTCTTCAACAAGTAGCAGCACTTCGTTTGCTCTGGACAGTGATGACTCCTCAGTCTCTGCACATACAGATGACACAATATTGCTTAGCCACTCACCACACTCCCTGAGAACACAGCAGTGGCCCTCAGTGTTCCAAATCCCCAACTTCTCCTATGACACAGAATGCCAACTGCAGAGGGCAAATACGGAGTACATGAATACCCAAACTACTCTGACACCTAGTTCAAAGATGCTGTCAGACATATAGGACAAATTAGCTGAAAGTGTGTATGCATACACGCCACATCCTGAAGACTGCCATTACAGTGATGTTGCAGTGGCACTCACAAGTAAGCACCCCTGCCTTAGGGAACCAGGATCTTTCAATCAGAGCTATGGATGGAAACAGCGGCTCAAGATAAAAATGGGCAACTACCGGACCCAACTTAAGGCACATGGCTCATCTGCTGAGCTCACAGTGAATTCTTCAAAATCTAGAGTCCAGGGAATTCCTACCCAGCAAAGAATGTAAAGAGACCTAGACGAGCTGAGGTCAATCATTTTCCAGCTTTGCCAAGTGGTGAGACTACAGAAAGCCTGGAACAAGAGCAAATTCCCATTTTGGCAGAAATCCAGGAAAGAAACAACCGACAAACGGTAAAAGAAAAGATGGCCAAGACGTTTGGATACCGTCGACAGGAAATAGTACACAAGCAGCCAACGACTCAAGAGATTATGGAGAGATGGCCAGCACTTTTCCTGAAGGAGTAGGGGTGATTTTGATACCATTGACACATTTGTGTATTAATTGTGTTGCTGTTGGATTGAAAAGGTTTTGTAAAAGAGATTAAATTAATAATGTTAATTAAACATTTAAAAGGCTGATCTTCAAGCAGAGTGATCAAATGTGTAAAAATTTTATATTTTAATTTTTGTTCTGTCTGTGTGCTTGTTATTTTACAGATCAGTGCTGAGTTCCTGCGAGTTACAACAGTTCCATTGGAGGCAACGTTTTTGGCACAGCTGGACAAACATTCTACCAAACTGCTACAGGTCATCAGGAGCAAGGGAGGACGTGTGAAAGAGCAGACCACTAGGACCTTGGAAGTTTTAGATGAGGTATGAGCATAAGGTTTAATGGGATTTATTGTTGGATATTTATTTTATGTGGCTATGAGTGAGGTTGTTATTTATAGCAATTGTTCTTACTCAGACTGTTGACATCACCAAGAAAAGAGAGGCTGTACTCAAATCTCTGACGATCTACCAGGGTGAACCTGTTGAGAACCTTGTTAAAGAATGCCAGGTAAGAAATTCTCTTACTAACTGGAGCAACCTCCACAAACTCTTTTGTGTGTTGAAATAATGCAAATCAAATGCACCGCCTACGCAATGTTGCCAAATTAGCAACTGTATCAGTATTTCTAACAACTTTTCATAACTCCTTTGTGAGTTTATTGTTTCCAAAAGCGCTTAGCAAACAACCCATCAACATTTCTGGTAACCCGTAGCAACTCCTTGAATAACTATGTTGGCGGTATTCTTTACAGATTAACAAAACACCCTGCCTGCGCTGGGTGTTTTGTTAATCTACAAAGGGAAAAGGAATGTTCCACACATAAGCATCATAAAAACATTACATCAATTGACCAATCATACAACTCTGTAAATGGATGTCACTCTGATAAAAGTTATTTTACAAGCAAATAATTATTATGCAGCAGGTTGTGGTAATTCACGGTAACATGACTAAACTGATGTGCTTACATAAAGGTTTGTGCTATTTTAATTGAACATGTTTGTAATATTTTGTGCGTCTGCAGGATGTGCAGGAGAATGGCCAACAGCAACTGGAAACCATGGCAATATTCGTCATCAGGAGAGAGATCCTTTCCATCCACCGAAAGACATGACGATAGTCATCGACGGAGCACAGGTCCTGACAGATGTGCCTTCTGTTGCAACAGCTGTTGCCATGTTCTTTGCACTGATATATGCCCTCAACTTAAAGTATCCAAAACATCTGCAGTACACTCTGGAATTCATTCAAAAGGTCCTGATGGAGCTCGGTGGCAAAAAGATGTCTTCAAACATTCACAAGCTGAGCACTCTGCTTTAGAGATGTTGAACTCTGATTCTTCCATTGTTGCATCTAAAAAGAAGACTTAAGATCCTTTTGTGACGTTTGTGTTCTGCTATCGCTGTCGCAAAAATACTCAAGTTCAGAGACTTGTTCAATACTTTGTTAAAAACTAAGGAGCAATCCAAAACATAATGCAGTGTTTTTATTCAGACAAAGAAAGGGTTGTTTGCATTTGAAAGTTCCGGAACTAACTGTCACTAATATAACTGGTAACATTTTACGTTGATTTTGTTGACGATGAGACAATTGTTGATTTAGTTTAATGAACATTTTATTATTATTTTTAGGTAATATTTGTTGCCAGATTTAGTTCAACAATGTTTTATTTAATTGAATCATTTGTTTGAGTTTCTGAGTGGATAGTTTGGCTCTATTCAGCAGGATTGACCTGGACAAAATGTAAAAATTTCAGTGATTCTGACAGCTAAAAATATATCTTTCATAATACAAAATTACAGTGCTGTTAATAAAAAAATGCATGTTAAAAAAATCTAGGGCATTGTTTTGGCTGACATGTTCTTTAACCAATAAATGTTTATAGACAAAAAAAATGTGCTGCTGAGTGTAAATCAATGCAAGTGTAAAAGGAATTTCATATTTACAATATAATCACAATTCTTTATTTGATACAATTTACAAAAGTTGCATTTGCTCAAACAGTCAGAATTAGTTTCTATCAATTTTAAAATATCAGGTTAGGTTTAGTGAAATATTTACATTGGTTAATAAATGCAACTTAATTTTTTTATTTGAAGGAACTTGATATTATTGATTTGCCTCGACTACAAATGTTAGTTTACATGAAATAAAAATTGCAAGGTTACAAAAACTAAATTTTTTACATCAACTCAATGCTAAAATATTAGGTGTGACCGATTACTTCAAAATTTTGAAGTTAAGGCCGTGTTAAATTTCTGTCAGTGTGGTCTGCTGAAGGGCCTTTTGGGCTCGGGGCCCTGAAGACCTCTCCAAAGAGATGAGCAGAGAAGACAATGGAGGGCAGCTAATCTAGTCTTTATGCAGCCTTTGTCCGTGCGGGAGGGGGGCACTTGTAGAGGCGGTGCTCAGGTAAGACAGCATGTCAAAGGTTAAGCTGGGAGATTCAGACTTGCACACACAAGTTAATTAAAGTTTGTCTAAGGGGGCGAGAGTGTATGTCGAGGAGGCCGCTGGAGTCCGAGGGCTCGCCGGAGAAAGGAATGCTGCCGACTTCAAAGTTGGTCGACTGCTGCCAAACGGGACGGAAGAGTCCAAAACATCCCTTCTAACAGTGTTCATGTAAAACAGCAAAGTGTTAATGAACCACACCCTTCTGCATGATAGTACAGCGGATGTACAGGAGCCAGAGTGAAAGTGGATAAATCCCATGAACCAACAGGATTTGGGAGTCAGCTGGATATTTCCTCTGATGAGGGACAAAGCCTGATGCTGGCTATAGTCGACAGCTGTAGAAAGTCCTATGTGTCAGAGTTAGAATAGAGAGGGCCTTACACAGAACTATGACACAATCTGAATGCAACTGTTATTTTTGAAGTTTCATTCTAACGGGATGGCGTTCCTGGTGATTCCACCTGTTCACACACATCTAAAGGCACCTTCACCACAGACACTCAGAGCTTTAGAGAAAACTAACGCTGGTCACACGCAAAAAAAGATAAAAAAAAAAACATTTGAACAAAAGAGTGAATGAAGAAACAGACAGTAGACGTGTAGAAGAGGAAGAGGATAACCTCAGGGGGGACATAAAAATGGAGCAGTCTGCAGAAAGAGGTGGAGAGGAAGAAGGTGAAGGAGAGAAGATGAGCAGACAGTGCCCTTTATGTATTGGCTGAGGGTCTCCCAGGGCTTTTCTAATGCTTTCTACAGACCCACTTCCCAAGGTCGCTGCATGGCTGCTTCCACAGCTGTTCTTCAGCCTTGTTCCTCTCCCTCCAGCCTGTGTGTGTGTGTGTGTGCGTGTGTGTGTGTGTCCCTCTACCTGTGAATGCAGGGCAGATTATGGCCCACTAGCAAAAAGATTACAGAAAAAGGACAAAAAAAAATTAAAAACAAAACATCCAGAATAACCTAGAGGCTGATGAGAGTTTAATCCAGATTGTGTGTGTGTGTGTTAGTTACATTTTTTTTTGGGGGGGGGGGGGGGGGGGGGGGGGGGGGGGGGTCTCTGTCCATCCTGGTGCTTTCTGAGGACCTGTATCTAGGATCTAAGACTCATTTCTATGATTTTGTCTTCACTGATGCAAATGTGAACTCACGCTTTTGGGTTTGAGTAGAAGATGTAGCACATCACAGGGAGGAGTAATCGAACCCTGATTCCATCAAACACAACACGCTCTCAATGCAAAGATGGCTGATGGCAGTGGACCGGATGGAGCTACCAGCCCTGGTGAAGCATTACAAGTGCTATTTTAAATAGCACAGCTGTTGGGCTTATTGCTACAGCTGATCGTCCTAAGTTGTTCACGAGCATTGGGAGGCGGAGTTAGATGAAATGGAGCGTTCAGGGTTTAACAAATGCAGATCAGAGATCAATAAAAAACATCTACAAAAGAAGGATTGTTGTTTAAACCTTATAAATTGGACTTGTGACCTTCAGACATTTTAAGCAACTATTAAAGACGCCAACTCTGTTATCTGTGGACAGAAGTGTCGCCCTGCTCTGTGATTCTCTAGAGAAACTCACAGGAAGTGAGTTTGAATAACTTTAATGTTGTGGTCTCTAGTCTGCAGGTCTAGGTTTGAAAAATGCTTCTGAATCAGCAGACTTGAACTTAAAGGAATCGGATCAGAATCAGGATGAAAGCGTCTTCGTGTTGTCATGCCATCCTGTGTTTTCTGTACAAATATAGAGATCAGTGAGTTGGACTGTAAAAACAAGAGAAGAAAGTTCTCCGTGACATCTGTAGCTGTGCTGAGGACGCTTCGGCTCGGCGCTCTCCGAAAAGAGCGCTGTCCGGTGTCTGTGTGGGACAAAAACCTATAGATTTGTGTTTGCTGTCAGAATGTCACGTACATGTGGCGTGAATATCACAGGCATCACCTCGCTGTGACCCTGCTTCCCATCTGTTTTAAGTGGGCTACGCCAGCCCCTCAGTCGGCCTACACGGTTACTGACCCATTCCACATGCCAGAAACAAGACAGATGCCCCTGATACCCCAACTCCAGCCCCCCCCCAACAGCATTTCACCGTCTCGTCCCGTCATCCAGACCAGACACCCTGACCTCCTCCATCTTCCTCCACTTCCACTGCCACTGGGCTCAACGCTAGGTCAGTCTGTGAGGAGACGTGTGCTATGTGATGACGGTAGCTGGATCTGTACTTGGGGCTCAGGTGGAGATTACAGCGTCTCTGTGTGTTTACGTGTGTGGGAGGTTACAGCAGCAACGATCATCAGGAAGCACGCACGCACGCACGCACGCACACACACACACACACACACACACACACACACACACACACACACAAGGAGGCTGTGGTCCATCCTCTGACCGGCCGGTGACCTGACAGCCCAGCAGCTGCTAGCTGTTTGATGTTTCACTCTGAGGATCACATTTCATTTTCAGACTCTTCAGCCATGGAATCAAGACGGGGGGGGGGGGGGGGGGGGGGGGGGGGGGGGTTGGGGGGGGCTGGGGGTCTTCATTTTCTGTACACCCTCCAGAACCACAGCGCCACCGGCCAGACCCAGCTAGGAAATATTTCCATAGCACATGTAGGCAAAAGAAACACTGATAATTTATATAAACATATTAATACTGTCACTCTTCACACACACACACACACACACACACACACACACACACACACACACACACACACACACACACACACACACACACACACACACACACACACAGAGCTCTTCTCACTGACTGAGAGGCCAGTTCAGAGGGACAACATGAATTCACACATTAACAAAGTCAAGTGACAATGGCACATCAGAGGGAGTGTGTGTGTGTGTGTGTGTGTGTCTCAGGACAATGTTCTGCACTGCTGACATATGACAACTTCATCAGGCCAGACCAGAGGGTCTAATGTTCAGCCTGATCCCATCTGTACACACACACACACACACACACACACACACACACACACACACACACACACACACACACACACACGCACGCACACACTCACGCACGCATGCACGCACGCACACACACTAACAGCCTGATAGGTCATTCTATAGTCATACATGACTAGAATGGTATGAATATGTGATTGTAGATTGAAGTTTACAGTCAAGGAAACGAGTTTAGCTACGTAACTAATCTTAGGCATGACACTGAAACACTGAGAAAACATCTAAACTGGTTTTAATAGGTTGAATTCATGACAGAAACACAACAACTATGTGATGAGCTAAAACTAAAGTCCCACATGAGGGACTTCATAGGGCTGAGTTCTCACCGCCCTGTTTTCTGTTCAGAGTGGATCTGGCTTCTTAGTGTGTGGCCACTCAAGAGTGAGAAGAAGAGAGTGTGCCTCGGGCTAAAGGGCAGCTTTAGTCAGAATGAACACACACACACACACACACACACACACACACACACACACACACACACACACACACACACACACACACACACACACACACACAATGGCACAATGTACTCAAGAGCCCATCACAAACAGACAGAATGTACGCACCGTCTGACTCACGTTCCAGAAGAACATAAAAACTGCCAATAATGACTCTGAAATCAGGGCAGTGTTGTGTTGCTGTTCTAGGTTATGTATCCCATTGATGTGTTGTTGCTCTAGGTTGTGTTTCTCTGTTACGTTGCTGCTCTTTGTTGTGTGTTTCACTGTTGTGATGTTGAACTGGTTTGTGTTATTCTGTAGTACTCCTGTTTTAGTTTGTTTTTCTGTGTTGTGCTGCTGCTCTCGGTTGTGTGTTTCTAAATAGCGTTGCTGCTCTATGTCGTGAGTTTCTCTGTTGTATTCTTGTTTAAGTTCATGTTCTCTGTTGTGTTGCTGCTCTAGGTTGCGTGTTTCCGTAGTGTTGCTGCTCTCGGTTGTGTGTTTCTGTAGTGTTGCTGCTCTAGGCTGTGTGTTTCTGTAGTGTTGCTGCTCTAGGCTGTGTGTTTCTGTAGTGCTGCTGCTCTAGGTTGTGTGTTTCTGTTGTGTTGCTGCTCTAGATTCGGTTTCTGTTGTGTTGCTGCTCTAGGTTGTGTGTTTCTGTAGTAGGGCTGCAACAAACGATTATTTGGATAATCGATTAATCGGATGGGGTCTCGACACGATTAATCGATTAATCGGATTACATGGGGAAATTTTTAAAAACTGCTAGGGAAACGCTATTTCTCTCCTTCCTTCACTTTATTTAACACAACATTATTAGAAAACAGTTCAATAGCAGAAAAACAACATGCCATCACCTAAATTGTCTTATAAGGTGTATAGACAGAGACCCTAAGCTACATCTATCTGTGACCTAAAATGCTTGGTCCAAGTTAAACAGCTTAAGGGCAATTCTCATCTGTTTTGTTTGATCTCATCTGTTAACATTTATTTTAAATGTAATTAAACATAGGCTGTGAATTAATCAAAATTGATCACTATTTCCAAAACTGACTGAAAAAATACCAAATAAAACAAAAGTAAATGAATGCCATCCTCCTTGCGATGATGCCCTGGGCAACTGCCATAAAGTGACATCAAGAAATGCTGCTGATCATTCCAATGATCCCAAATAGACTCACAT